CTCAGCCCTGGGTTTCAGTGTATCCGCCTGTTCTGCTCCCCACTGTCTCTGGGGCGTCCTTTCGACCCCCAGCACCTCGGGCCGGCACCCCAGCTCGTGTGCACAAAGAAACAAGTCTTTCTAAAAAATTAAGTTAAAAGAAGAAGCAGCAGGAAGGCGCCGCAGACTGCTCACGTCTACCACTTCCTCCTTGGACTGGAAGTCGGACACCAGCACGTTCTCCCAGTCGGCCACGCGGGTGAGGGAGAGGTGGACCCTCCCGGAGAAGCGCCGGTGGATGTCGGCGGGCAGGTGCCGGTGCAGGCCCTCCCGCAGGTAGTCCGTCAGGTTGGTGGAGGGGTGCAGGATGTTGAGGGTCCGGCGTCTGGCCCAGCGGACAAGGTCCAAGATGATCTGCAGAACCTGGTCTGGGGGCGGGCGACAGACAGGGGCTGTGCCAGAGGCACGGGCAGCCTCGTGCCAAGACCAACGCCAGCTGGCGAGGACACGCGCGTGTCTTGGCCCGTCCGGGGACCAGCAGCCACAGGTGGCCCTCGAGAAGGCGGTTGGGGGGGTGCGGAAAAGGCGCGGGGTCACCGAGACTCAGAAGCCCAAGGAGCAAGTGGACTAAAGCTCATTTGCCATCTTCACATGGAGTCGCTGTGCAGACGGCGACGTCCAGCGCCCGGGGCGGGAAGGCCGCCCGCCCGCCCTCTGCCTGCTGTGTGCGGTCACTAGGAAAGGGAGGTGACAGCTGTGGCTGCCGCGGGGCTCGGCCTCCCCGAGGCCAGAGGTCAGGACTCACAGCTTTGCGCCCCGGCCCGACACTGCAGGCGGGCAGAGTGGCTGGGACCCCAGGGGGCTTCCCGGGGCTTCCCGGCCCCTGGCCAGCCAGGGCTGCCCACAGGACCCACTGCCGCTCCGCTGCAGACTGTGCTGGCTGGAGGCGGGGGAGATCAGATGTCGCAATCTGGAAGGTACCTGAGCCAGAGCAGGCGCCTGGCCTGATCGTTTAGCTTAGGCTGTGAGGCAGGGCCTGAGGCTGCGGTCAGCGGGCACCTCCCCACCCACCTCCCTCACTCCCGCCGCCCCTGTGGCTGAGCTGGGTCACCCCGCAGGGAAGGGCGCCAGTCCCAGTCGAGCTGAGGGGCGAGCACCAGCCTCTTGCCCGGGCCACTTGTGACCTGCCCACTGAGCCCAGGCAGGAGGGTAAAAATCGCACCCAGCCGGCGGCTCTGCCAGTCCCCCCGCCCAGTCAACAGCCCTTGCCAGCTCTGCCCACGTCAAGTAACTGGGTCACGCTTCTCTCTGGCTCCCAGTGAGACAAAAGATTATAAAGTGGGATTTTGGGGCTCCCAGAACCCAGGGAGCAGCGCCTGCCAAAGCTGGGTTCACCGACACAAGCTGTGCAAACTCCGTCGTCAGACACGGTGCGGAGGGAGGGGAAGGCTCTGAAAAATCAGACTTTCCACGCTGACCTATGTCATGACCTCCCTTCTTGGTATCATCGTAATATCAAAATATTCTGAGCAACCTTCACCTTCCAGTTGGATGGCCTCAGCCTCAGGAGGCCTGCCTGCCCTGACAAGCAAGTGCTGCACCAGGGTGAGAAATTCCTCTGAAGTCAAAAGTCATTAAACAACTGGCTGATTAATAAAAACAAGTGGCTGTTACAGCAAAGTCTCTCTCACTGCCAGAGGGAGGAAAACCCAGAACTTATCACTCACCTCACAGAGCCTCCTATTCAGTTTCTAAAGAACCACTCAAGCGCCCTACCATCTAGTCTTAGATATGGAAATTCACCCAAGTCACCTATTCAGAGCTAATCAGGTTTTCCACCTTCTAGACTTCAAGAAAACTCACTTAAAACCTTTAAACAAGTTTTTCAAAGAACCTTACCTTAATTTGATTTACAAGACATTTCCTCTTCCTGCCTCACTTTACCCCCTAGGACGCCTCTCTGAGAATGAAAGCCCTTAAGTAACAGATAAGGTTTCAGGGACTTTATTTTGGTTAAATCTCCACTGTGGTAAATACAGTAATATTAGTCTTAAATTTTATGAATCTATGTGCCTCTTTTAACCTTGATAGATGGATTTTAAAACTGTTATAATCTCTACTAAAAGTCAACCGACTCCAGATTTTTCTTAGAAAAAAGGTGACTCATAATGTCCAGTCCATATGCTGAAGTCACCCCTCTGCCTGCCGGAATGTATGAAATAAACCTGCTGAAGGCGCAGCAGGGAGACTCGCACCCAACTCCCATTCCCTGGTCTTCCTCGCGCCGCTCCCCTTTTTTCCCCTTTTTCTAGGAATCTCCCTCACCGACGCCGCTCCCACTTTGAGACCTGCCTGTTCTGCCCCCCAATAATCCGTGATCGGGGACAGAGTCTCTGACAGTTCACCTTCCAAGGATTTGGTGCCCCCCCCCCGCGGGGGAGGGCTTCAAGGCCCCCAGACCCCAGGGCCCTGTTTGCCAAGGTCCTGGAGCCTGTAGGCTGGAAGCAGGTCAAGTGGAACTAAGCCTCGGATATGAATATCTGCAGGTCACCTGCAGAGCCCGAGGGCACAGACCAGGCGTCGGCCACATCTCCAGCCCTTTGTTCCTCTCCCCTGGATGGAGAAAGCAGTGGGAGTCCCCCCTGCATCAGCCCAGGGTGAGCTCACTGGCCCTGGCCAATGGCAGGGCTCTGCCTGCGGCAGGG